AACCGCCACTGCCGACTTCTCCTCCTCGAAATCAACCGCCCACGTCTCCGCCGCATCCAGGTGGAGCCTCCCAATCTCCGGCGAAAAAGAATGCGCCAAGACCCCAAGCACGCCGTCGAACGGCTGCCCGTCGCCGTGATCGCCTCTATAAAACCCAATTTTAATATCAGCAAACCCATAATCCTCCGTCTCCTCGAACCTCACCGGAATCACGTGGGCCCATTTAGAAAACGCCGTACGAAATACGAATTTCACGTCTTTTAAACTCAAATTGCTTATCCAATTTTCCTTCAAGAATGCGTACGTCAGCACCATCGGCATTCGCCGCGTCCACCGTGGCTTCCCGGGAAAATATACGTAACGCGCCGTTACATGGGGTCCATGCAACGTGTCGGCCACGCGCCACCGCCGTGCAGTGGAATTTGACCGGAAAGTCACGGCGGAGGAAGGAATAATGGGTGGCAAGCAGAGGAAGAACAGAGCCAAGAGAAGGTAGCGAGAAGGAGGAATTGATGGCAGAAACATGGCATATGCAAACACCTTAAGAAATGGAAGCTTAGTGTTTATATATATATATATATATATATATACATAATTTTAAAAAAATAAAAATAAAATAAAAAACATATATATATTGTTCATCTTTCTCTGGTCTTTACTTAACGATTGAAATTTGACGAATTTTTATAGTTTGGTGGAACAAACTTCTCTTTCACTTTTTCTTTTTCCATTGTATTTTATAAATTTTTAAAGAATAAATATGCATTTTTCTAATTCTAAATAAAATAATATAAAAAAACCATTATTTTCTAAATTTTAAAATAAGGAAATGGTTTTTTTTTTAATAATTATTTTATTTATAATTAAAAAATGCATATTTATTCTTTAAAAATTTGAAGATTTATTGTTGTAGACTGGTTAAGATCAGACGTCAATATTTAAAATACAGAGTGATAGAAAAAAAATAATATTTTAAGAATTGAAGAAGGAAGAAATGATAAGGATGGAAGTGTGTGTTAGTGTAAGTTGAAGTGTCGGAAGCAAAGGGCGGGTGGTAAGAAATGATAAGGATGGAAGTGTGTGTTAGTGTAAGTTGAAGTGTCGGAAGCAAAGGGCGGGTGGTTGTTAGGATTTATGATGGTTGCTTCCTCTTGCATGTTCTCTTCTTTTTTCATCTCTCTACGTCAACCATGACTCAAAGTTGTATGCTTTAATGGTGCAATCATTAGTTGTTGATACAACGTTAAAACTACCCATTTTGTAAACAAATATCATGTATAATGGGGTAGATTCTCTCGTATAACATTAACCATTCATAAATTTACTTGCATTTAACACTGTGTTAAAGTGCCTCGAAACATTAGAAATCATTTGAGAAATGCGTTGGATGGGGCTTGAGAACTGACTGCGATTGCCTACCCTATATGAAGTGTGTGATCCTACCCGATAAAGCTTTGAGAATTTGGAGCACTTAGCAAGCGGAAAACCAAGCTCAAGAAAGGCACGTAAGTAAGTAGCTATTCAAACTTTTTTTTAGTTGTACTTGTTCGAATTGCTAGGACATGCTGACATGTAAGTAAGTAGCTATTCAAACTTTTTTTTAGTTGTACTTGTTCGAATTGCTAGGACATGCTGACATGCAAGTGTAACCTACTTTAGGTGGTTAGAATGACAGTTTGGACGAGAAAGCAATGTACGGTGTGGAAAAATTATTGAAATTCGTTTAAGATGAGAAAGCAATGTATGGGATGTCGGGATTATGTGTTCCTATTTCCCCATTTGTAAATAACTTTGAAGAACACCAATTCGAATTTTAGTGTTTTTTAATTATTTATTTTATTAATTATCATCTTCCCTTTTCACGACCCTCCAAAATTTAAAACCTAAAAAATCGGGTCGTGACAATGGCACAGTGCGCTTGATATTATTCTCGACCGTTCATGTTTTGAAAGACCGCCTCAATTGCTTCCCATTAAACCTTAGTTGCAACTGGATACATTGGTACTCCTCTGTCTTTCGACCATGCATTCCAGTAATACAAGTTCTTTCAAATTTTTTGGGCACCATTAATCTCAAACAAGTTGGATAAATTAACCGGGTATTCATTAGATAATTTTCAGTTCATAACTGTAGTACCTCCATTCCCTTAAAGAGATGGTGGATGATGGAAGTCGTTGAATGTAACTTTCGTCAATTACACCATCGTTATTCTCTGGATCACCACAAAGCTCGATAATTGTATCAATGACTCGAAAGTGATATTCAACATAGTAATGAATCTTCGAAAGATTAATCCCGGGGTCATCAGAATGACCTGCAGATTGCTTTTAGCTAATCAAAGTAGCCTCTGATATTTTATTAGCTCTGTTATGCAATTCCTTCTTCTCCCGACTCTCTAGTTTGTTCTTCTCTTTCTTACCGCCCATGTCAATGGAGACTTCTAAAAGATGATAATGGTTTTTCATTAGTATCTTATACAAACAGTTCAACCGTTTTACCTTTATCAACATGACTCCATTTTTACCAAACATCTTGAGGAATGAGCCGACTAACTCTACTTTAATGTCTTCCTATGTGATTTGACCAAGTACCAAACATCTTGAGGAATGAGCCGACTAACTCTACTTTAATGTCTTCCTATGTGATTTGACCAAGCTTGATAATATTACTTTTCAAGCTTGAGATTTAATATACCTTAATATAATTAATTCAAGTCCCCGATACTAATTCAAATAATTGAATTGAGGGACCTTTTGAAATTTTTTTTTTATGATATTTTCAACTTTAGAGTATATATTAACTCATATATCTTTTTTCGGTCATTTCAACTGTCATTACAATTCATTTGATAACCTTATTAGTCGATGAAACCGTAGGACTCTATGCTTCGTCAGAAAAGGGTATGATAGCTACTTTTTTTCTGTATAACAGGATTATTAGTTACTCGTTGGATTTATTTGAGGCATTTACCTTCATAGGGTTTCTCCATTATTCATCTATTTACGTATTTAAAAAAATATAAAAATCGGCTAATAGACGTTGATAGTCATTTTTGCCTTGGAACAAGATGGATCCTTTACCTTGGATTGGTACAATGATATGTTGCAAAACCTCACATTTTCAATAACCTTCTCATCAAGCTTCTTAAACTTTGCATGGATCATGTGATTGCTCGCTCCAATATTTAAAAAAACAATATACCCCATTCAAAAACGATTAAGAAAGCTCAACAAGCCCATTAGCAATATAAAAGCCCGGACAATTTTCAAATCAATATTCTCCCCCCACATAATGCAAAATAAATGGAACGAAAAACTCACGATCCACTAGTGAAAAGTTTTAAAACACGTCTACTAGTGAAAAGTTTCTACACTCTTAGATATGTGATGCTTTTGATTTCTACAAAA